GAAGACCAAGTTCCTTCTGTAAGGCAGCCTTGCATTGAGCCTGAAATTCACACCAAGTAGATGAAAAAGATGGTGAGATATATACTGTAATATATATAGATTCTTTGCTTCAAGGTTTGTTTTTTCAAAGAACTGAATATCCCTAATACCTTTCCAGAGAGATCATCAATTGAGTAAGGTGCTGCAATATGTGCATCATTAGATGGGTCCCACTCGGAAGTATTGATCCCATTTATAATCCCTATATAAAAAAAAAAAATTTAAAAAAAAAATCAACATAAGAGTATAGAGCACGAAATACCTAATGCATCAGTACATGAACAGAAAAGTTGGGCATTGAATAAGAAATTAAAGATATACAAGTACCATTTAATACGAATTTCCTGCTGGTAAGTAATTCGTGCAAACCATAGCCGCCCTCCACAGTTGTTATTTCCCATGAATATCCCTGAAACCATTCATAGAGCAAGACAAATTGATAAAATTATAGTTTGGTATCTACACTATTCCCACATTCTACTTGCATGCCAAATGAAATACTGCATACTGAACGAAACAAATTAACATTCTAGATACATAATTGAGGGAATATTACCTGGCTAACAGTAAGTATTCTATCAGCCGTCACAATGGCTCCCTTTAAAATATTGACTGCTTCACCTTTGTCAAGTTCATGTGCTCTTGCCCACTCGGGGAACACCCATTCTAGTGCTCCATACCACTGTGGAGGAATTCCTAAATTGTCGTATGTTACTGCAGGCTCCACACCCTAGCAAAAGCAGGATATAAATATGGATTATCAGTGTTTCTCCAATAGGATTGCTTTTCTTCTAATTTGACTTGTGTTCAATCAATAAAAAGCTGCCAATATGTAGTCATAGAAAAATTTAAAAAGGAAAAAAATCTACAGTTAGGATACAGACTGTGTTGCATGAAGGGCATGTAACGTCCTAAATTAAAAGTTTTAAACATAGGATAGAAAAAGAGGGAACTTGGAAGATGGACAGATCTCCAAAGTGAGTATAATTAGCCATTTGTTAGAAATGTAATTTTGCATCTTCATAACATGTGGGCATTGCATGAAGTTGAGATATTGAATTATTTTATTATCTTCCAAGGTATCATATAATATTAAGTGGTCACTCACATAATGGCAAATACTCAAAGAACATGACCAATATCAACCATACAAGAGAAACGTACTTGATGAGAGAGGTTGTGTATGACAAGTATGCTCCGTGCATCCTTGTAAACTCCATAAGGACGGTACTTAGCTGCAAGAAGTCTACAAAAACAACCAACATTATAAATCTGTTTGCTGTTGATCACTCAAAGATAAATTATCAGAAATTCACAAGCAATAAAATATGAAATGCCAATGATAGATGGTAATTAACTGATGGACTAACACTATTCATTCAATAAACACCATAGTGTCATAGCATTAAGATTTAATAACAATTCTATCAAGAATAAGGTCTCTTGGCAACGATACAGTACTTCATCTAACTACTACTGGACAACAATAAAATTATAAGGGATAAGCAACTTCAGATCTTAACATAAATTATTCTTTTCATCATAAGAAAGAGCTCCCTTACCTCATTAGTCAACAAATACTACACAAGCTTAGTTGCAAGTGGCATTATTACAATAAAATACAGTACACCAAAGATATTTTCTAGAAGTTAGTTTAAAGTGGTCAGGCATGGAACTCTCACTAGTCTATTTAATGAGCTCCACATTATAATAATTACATGGCTTGTACTGGTCCAATTTTAAACTATGCTAGTCTGCTCATCCATTGCTGCTTAAAACTTTAATCCTACGCGTTCCTTTATGGTTCCACCTCCTCCGGCGATGAGATTGAGAAAAGTAAATCATAGCAAATCAAAGAGTCTAATATATGATCCCCAATGATATAACTCGACACTCATCACTCAATAACTTTAAAAAATACATAAATCATTAGAGTCAAAAATAAGAGAGCACGTACACTGGTACAAGACCTGCATGCCAATCATTAACAAGGAACAAGCACTTTTCCCCATAGGTGTACCCTCCTAGTGGAAGGACAAGAGGAGCTTCACATGCTGCATGACAAAGTAAGGTGAACCGAAACTGTCCAACCAAAGATGAAAATTGTTACTCTTGTATCTTGTCAACTAAAACAAGTCAAACTGACTCAATTGCAACGTACTTCCACAATTGCTCCTACTCAAATGGGAGGAGAAATAGATTCTATATCCCTGAAATGGTACATACCTGATTATCACCAAAAGCACCAAAGCTGTCACCATATGGGTTTCCAGGTCGATGATATGAAGGATGATCGACAAAGACCTATAACATGGAATGAAAAGGTTACTATATATTTAGACATAAATATATTTTATATCCTAAAATCTCATACAAGATCCACAAAAGGCACTATCAATAGAATGTAAAAACTGGAAAAAAAAAATATGGCAAGCCACCAGTTATTACTTTAGTAGTAGCAGTATGCAATTTCCTTACCCAATCAACACCATCCCTATACTGGTGGAAAAAGGCGACTTCTTGTTCCCCTCCAAAACAATTGACCTTGATGCGGCAGTCAGCATCAAATGCGCCAGCATAAATCTTATCTGCAGCAGTGCCATGTATATAACGGGGGGCAATTACCATTACACGATGCCCACGCTCAGCTAGAGCTATAGGCAAAGAGCCACAAACATCACCTAAACCCCCTGTCTTGGAATATGGTGCGGCTTCTGCAGTAACAAAGACAATACTTAACTTTACTTTGACTGAAGTTTTCTCCTCTCCCTCAACAACAGTTTCTTCCAATAAGTCTTCAGCCAAAATTTCCTTTCTCACTCCTTGTTCAAAAACAAAGCTAGACGGTAATCCAGAAGAAATTTTCTCCTCTCCTTCACTGTCAGTCGCTTCCCTAACTTTCCACACATCTTCTTTAATATCGTAATCTCCCTGCACTTCATCCTGTTTATCCAGGTCCAGGACTGCATTAACATTTGAATCACTACTGTCCGTGTTTGCTGTTCAATTATGAAAAGCAAACTTCAAAATTTCATAATGTGGTCATTAATTAAATTGATCAACAACACCGGGAAGAAACAAGACTTTAAAATAATGAACTATAAACTTAAGAACTAAACCCTCATCCTAGTTGGAAATTGCTATCAAAGTTAAATTGAGCAACTACATAGTCAACTGACTTTACATTACGGCATTACCCCCAAAATAAATTATCAATCAAGATAACAAGACCTGCATTAGCCCACAACCATCATTTATAAAGCAATTACACATGAAACACATTATCAATTGTGATCACTTCAGTGTTTACTAATGCCTTGAAACTAAAAATTTAATGCAGATTATTGTGGCCGCGACACATGATCCTATCACATCATGATAGCCTCATATTGATCCTACACTCTAAGTAATTGTCAAGTTTCTTATTCTTGAAATATATACCATTTCAATTATTACTCAACCATCAAGTTGGCAGCATTCCTTCTCCACGGTCAACGCTCCAACCACTAGTCCACTTCATATTATCAACAAACAGCTTATTTATGTAACTAATCAACTAAAATTGTTTATCAAACCTACTGATTTCAAGTTTCATCCTTTCTCTGTGATATGACAAGTAACACAAAATTACCAATTATAGCAAATTTCTAACATTTTAATTTGCAATTACATTGAACCACACAAATCATATAGCATCCCAACAATTCATTAAGATCTACAAAAACAAACATTTTCACAATATCCATTCATACAAATTGGTAAAATTCAATCAATATTTTCACTTACTAAAAATCAACATGCAATATAAATTATAGAAACAAGAAGAGGAGTGTACAAACCAGATTGAGAATACAAGTTAAAACTAACAATGGCACCAGAAGCATCTTTCACAGGACCAATCAAATGACCTAAATGCCCTTCATCTCCTTGTTGTTCTTCAATGGCAAAATAAGAAACATCTTTAGAGCTTGAAACCCCACCTTCATTTTTCCCAGAAAATGACTGAGATTTAACTGGAAAAGACAATCTTTTACATCTTTGTTTCCAAAAATAATCAAAACCCAGTTGGTTAATTGCTCTAAATTCTGATGGGTTGCTTGCAAAATTCAATTTAGAGCGATAATTTAAGCCATTTATGTGAAAAGATTGGAGTGAAAGAGACTCCATTATAAGAAGAGAAAGATGGGTGAATTGGAAAAAAGGAAAAATAGCATGAAAATATCAGATGATCAAAAGAAAATAGAGAAAAAGAATATAATTATGTGTTGATGATGAATATTTGATTCTATTTCTAGAGTATTTTTGTTGGTTTTTGTAAAAAAGGTCAGATATTCAAGGACGGATCTTGTGAAAGCATAATGACCGTATGTGAGGTATAAATTATTGTGAACCAAAAATTAAAAAATGAGTAAATATTAAAAATTGACAATAAACCATGACCGTATGTGTCACTGCCCACTCGTACACTTGCCGACTTGGGATGGTGAATGGCACTGCTTTCTAAATTTCTCATATCATTTTCGTCATTTCTCATGTATTCGTACTTCATTTTGTACTACTTCCGTCTCTGAATTATGTAACTGTAACTTTTTTTAGGAGTATTTTGTTAAATTTGTTAGTTCTTTTCGTCTGAATTTATCTAAATTAAATTTATTGGACCGATAAATAGTATTCAAATCAGCAATATTGTGTTATGTAGATTATTTGTACACTAATTATTGAAACAAATCACCAAAATTATACAATAAGTTGTTGTGCGCTATTATAATTCACGAGGCTAGGATTTGGATAAACAAAAAAAGAATGTACCATTTCATCGTCACCACCTGGTATGGTACAAACTATACATCCTAATGTACCTAGAGTTACATAAATAAAAGACTAAACAGGAAAGTTTAGGAAATTTTTTATGAAAAAGATTAAATATTGTTAAACATCAATAACGTAGATCGACACATGAATTTGTCATAACTATCGAATCTATACCATTAAAGAAAACACATTTGTCTAGCACACTTCAGAGTTGTATATAATTACTATTACGCAGTACAAAACATATTCTCACTTTTAAACGATTTACAAATCTACATCACAAGCTGAAAATCACAATATTCCAATATATTAGGTAGATATTTGTGTTATAATTATGATAAATAAGTACAAAATTTATTTTCACGTTATTATGTAACAACAATAGCAATCAAGTTCAAGAAAAGTCCACAGGTCACATCACACAAAATAAAATCTTCATCTCCAACCATTACTGAACATTCGATCACTACTACCATTAGAATCTGGGCTGTACCCTGCAATCTTTCGAGCTTGGCCTCGATCCCCAATACTATTTGGGCTTGGAGTGTGAGCATATTGATAGTGGACCGACCCACCACCAGAACTAGAGGAGTCCGCACAATTGGGCCCAAGTGGTGACCTTTTGGCTGATGGAGAAGGATGGTTCCAAGGAGAAGGAGATTGGGCCCGTTGTTTAGATGGGCCTAGGCCTCGAACCTTGGCTTTGGCTGATTGTGTTGGGGCCATATAACTTGGAACTCCATCAAAACTGGACTGCCTAGACTCCCTATCTGACCTGTATATTAATGATCTACTTATAAGATTCGAGTTGAGTTTTGACTGAGTTGAGTTCGAAAATTTTATGTTTTTACACAAGGAGATAAAAGAGTTACTATACCTTTGATAAGGTGGATCAACCATGTCCATCTCTACTGTCCTCTCGGAGACATCATCGGTGCTAGTGGTCACCGCTGTTACGTATGTACTCTCATTTGGTCCCGATTTCATTTTATTTGAGACTTGAATTGGTTGTTGTTGTTGGGTGGCCATCCATCGCTCTAGCCAATTCCATCCCCACGGCGGTTTGTCCATTGAATTGGCATAAGCTGAGAACATTGCTTCATTCATCGGAGGATTATCTGATTGCATTAGATAGCTTGGATGGTGTTGTTGCTGCCATTCGAATCATAAATAAAAAACACAATCTCTGTAAATGTTACTCGTATGTTATCAAAGACTAGGAATACTAACATATCTACACCAGTGTTCTTTATGACTTGATCATAATGTGTAAATATTAAATTTATAAGTGACTCATAAAGGTGGTCTTATGATGGTAAGACAACTTTACAAAAATGTTTTTCACCAATCAAAAGAGAAATGAAGTGAGGATTGAATCAACCAACCTGATAATTATAAGCGTAAGCAAGAGCTCGCTCTCTCCTTAAGGCAGCATCTTGTTTCCTTAGAGAACTCCACTTGATACGCTCAAAACTATGTTGCCTTCCATCCCACTCATCAGCATTACTATTACTCCCATAATTAATCTTTGTTGGACTCTTAATCGACGTGATTAGTTGATCTTGCAACGTGTTCGACCTGTTACAATGGTCTCTTTTACCGTAATTATCATTAGTGACATGATTAGCACCATGATTATCGCGATGATGGTTTTGGGTGAAATGAAGCCTCCGAGCTCGAACTCGAGCCTGGACTCGTACTAGAGATTGCATGCACCTCATTGTCATCTGGGCCTGCTTCCGTACATTGTGTCCCCTTACTAATGCTTGTAATCTCACCAACCCTTTTAATGCACGCAAAGCCCTTCGAGCCTTCAAAAACAAAGTAACGATCAAATGATTACTATAATTGCTTTAACACAATCAAACATCTAACCTATAAAATAATGTCATACCAGTAAGCTAATAATATGCGTTATAGTATATTTACTGTATTATTAATATTAATCTATTTGTCACGTGAAATATAGTGTAACACATATTTAAAATATACATTCATTTATCAATTAAATACAGAGTTATAAGAAGGCTGTCTAGCAAAAGAATTTGTATTCGTAAGAATTGTAACAAAAAAATTAACTCGGTAATAAAACAATATGGGTCATACTTCCTCCGCTTTTCTTTTATTGCAACATAAAGACTTTTACACTATTCACATAATGTTTTTTGACCATCAATTGTGATTTATCCGTAAGGAAAAATATAGTTATGTGGGATCTAGTTAGATTCGTCTTGAAATCTACATTTCAAATATCAAATTTTTATAATAATTTTTACAAAAGTGTAATTAAAGATATTAATAGACAATTGATACATAGGCAAGCGTAAAATCACTCATGGTGCAATAAAAAATGAACGGAGAAAGTATAAAACATTGAAAATTTGCAATGAGACGTGTTATTTACCAAGTACCCTCGATAATGTGATTGAATCAAAGTGGCAGCCGTTTCTTCTTTAGATTGACGGCCATAACCTGCTAACCGGACAACCTTAGCGGCTGCTTGAGCTGCTGCAACGGCTGCCTCGGCTGCTGCTGCTGTGGCAGCTGCAACAGCTATAGCATGGGTGCGGTCATCCCTTGTAGGAGGTGTTCCACCACTGTCATCATTGGTGTAATCAGGGGAACTTTCAGTTGGGAAATGCTCCACGGACACAATTTCTAGTGCATCATTGTTCCACTTTTGGGCAGCTTTTTCCTAAAGAGGAAAAAAAAAAGTGAATGTGTGCTAACAAAATCACTACAAAGTACTTCATCATAACTTTTAAATTGTACTTGTTGCATTAGAATAGTCATACAATTAAATGAAACATTTGTTAATGCACAAGTTTGATTATTAATACTTAATACAATTAATAAAAAATATAAAAGTTAATATAATAAAAGTAAACAATATTACGAATTTAACTATAATTTTTCATATAATAACATTAATTTATAGTCGTATGTATTAGTATTAGTATATTATATACAAAGTACATAGTATAATATAGTTAAAGTTAGTACTTATATATAAACTAGGGTAGCTAACGCGCGCGCATCGCGCACCATAGGTAGCAATATTCGGGAAGCTGTATCAGTTTGGCCTTACATCACAACTATAGCTGTTAGTAGCATTAATGAGGGAAAATATGTAAACAAATACTTTTAGGGTATAAATGTCCGCACACTATTGTTAAAAGCTTTGAAAAAGAGCTAATTAACATAAATGGGGGCAATTAAGTAAATAAACATTTTTAAAAAGGTATAATTATCTAAACACTATTTATAAAAATTATCTCATACTTTTTTTTTTTTTTAAAGGTAGGGATAGTGCAAAAGTTAACAACTACGCCCTTAAGAAACAAAAGAATTTTTTAACAACTTATGAAGGCATCAATGTCGACTATTTTGCATGATATTGGGTAAGTTGGACCAATTGCTATGATAATTCTTTATCTCATTCACGATTCACCTTACAATAAGTTATTTTTGTGGGTTTCCTAGTGCTTTCCTCCCTTTCTTTGGTTCCAAGCTTGTGTTACAAGTTTTAGTAAGAGATCTTTTCTCGTACAAATATTCTTTTTCCTTTGATACTTAAAGATAAATAAAGGAGAAAAAATTGGCTATATCGTTTTAATTGTACAAATTTTATTACCTCATAAACTATATACTACGAGTACCTCTAGTTTGAATAGTTCAGCTTGTTTTTCATTTTAAACCTATTAAACAAGTTCGACTCACTAATACTTGCAACACTTTTATTATACGAGTGTAATTCATACTTAAAACCCTTAATTTCTTTAATTATCAACAAAGATATACATGTACCATACATTAAAATTTTGACATTATAAAATTAAACTTTAAAACAAATCGACTATATCGAATGATCGAGTGTAGGGCGTATAAAAATGAAGTTAACAGAAGAAATATAATAAATCTTTATCGTAGTTGGATGATGGAGATCTAACATTAATAAAACACATGATGATCTCTAAGGTTGATGTTGATAGCCTAATATCCATGATTCTATTGTGGATTACAACTTGTGACCATATATACAAGTATCATATGCATTTCAGATCAATGAGGATTGATTCATGGTCCTAATAAATTAGATTCCCCCTTATAAAGGTTTCATCAATAGCTACCTAACGACATTAGTTACATGAATAAAGCATAAAGTTAACTCAAAAGCTATATGATGCATAAGAGCAACTTGCCATTTAAGTCAAGACAAGATTTTTCTTACAAAATATAAATTAAAAGTTAATTTCCCTTGAACATTAAGTAAATTAATCGAATTGAGATGATTTTCGTGTCAAATCTTAAAGTGTAATTGTGTAAACTGTAAAGCAAATATGGTACGGTTATAGTAAATTTATGCTTTCTTTTCATTTCTTTGTACACTTGAAGTATTCATGGCAAGTAAAAAATTTAGCTATTTCTAAATTAATGTACAAATTATAGATAGGTAACTTATGTTTAAATTTGATAGGTTGGACAAATTTTAAGTTTTTGATTTTATTTTTCATTTCAAATACGAATTATAAGTCAGGAAAATCTAAAATATTTATAATTTTGTTAAACATATCACAAAAATGCTTTCAATCAAGATAGGTAAAAATTTCCATAAAAAAAAAAAAAAAAAAAAGATAGGTAAAAATTGGACATTAGCATATGAATACTGAACTCAAATGTGTACAAAATTATTTTTGAAACGTGATTTATGAATATTAAACACAAGTGTACCAAAAAATTTAGTTTATTTTTGAAACGTTAAGGTAAAATTTATACACAATCAAGTACGATAGTAGTTCATGGTATCATAAATACGAAGTAGAATATAACAAACCTACTTTTAATATCTAGGCTAATTAAAATGCAATATCTCATTTTACATGATTCAAAAAACAAAACAAAAAAATAGTCTCATTTGACGATTTATATTAAAGAAATAATCAAGATTAAATATAGATTTAAAAAAATTTCTCATTTTACATACCTTATTTTTTTCCGAGGAGTCTTTAGACTTGAAGACCTTCTTCACAGAAGAGAACCATCCTCCTTTTTTCCCCATTTCCGCAGGACAAACCTTTATAACATAGAAACCTTAAGATGAATAGCTTCAAATGTAAACCGAATGAAAACGAAAAGTGAGTAACTCAGGAATTGAATCAAAGGAAGTATGATGATATTACTAAGATCATACCTTATGATAATATTGTCAAGAATAGGATCACATAGGTTTATTGCATATTCCATTTCATTTTATGTCATGAAGTCTTATCATATGGTAAATTTTGAAAGAAAATAATGAGAAATTAGGAAGGTGCGGAAACAGGGGAGGAGAGAGAAAATAAGGAAGGAGAGTAGAGAGAGAGTAAAGAGGAGGAGCAGTAACTGACGTACCGCGGGATTGCCGTTAGGCATTTATCTCACTCACGGATTTTCCTTACCCGCTGCTTCTGCTGTATTCTACTGCCTACATCAAATCTCATTTTGCCACGTAATTTTTTTATAATATTATCACATATTTTTTATTTGTTAAAAATATTTCGTTGACTTTCAAATATTACTCCCTTTGTGGGACATATAAATTAAGTGGTTAGAGTTTCTCTACCGATTTCAAGAAATCTTGTGATCGATTTTCATCACCATCTCTTGTGGCTCTCTAAAAAAAAATCTTCATTTATGTTTTATTACTTGCTCTATTTCTCCATACGCGGAATTTTAAGAGAAATAATAGAAAATAATATAATATGAAATAAGTGTAGTTGGTAGAAGAACAAAATATGATAGTTGAAAGGAAAAATATTAAAATATAATAGTTGGAGGTCTACTAAAATAGAAGAAATTAGTAAAACATTGTGAAAGGTTTTCAAAAAAGAAAATTGAGCAAGTAATAAAATACGGCCGTAAAAGAAAAGTGGAGTTAATAATAAAATACGAAGGGTGTATTTTTTTTGGCTATAATGATCCTAACAAAATACGAAGTAATAAAAATGAATCAAACATAACTTCAAAACTAGACATACGAGGTTTTCAGCACAATATAGTTGTAATGATGGTTGTTAATTAGAGTGATAGTTGTTAGATATACATAGTAGGAGTGATGACTTGTAACAATCGACAAGTTATTAGTTACGAAGATAGATAAAGTATTATATACAAGTTGTTTAAAAATATATATATATATATATATATATATATATATATATATATATATATATATATATATATTATATACAAGTGTTTGATAAAGTATGTGTCCAATTATAATGCATTCTCTGTAATCCATATTACTATTATATTCATATCTCTACTACTTTCACTTTTTCTTCCAAATTCCTCTAATTCTTTCACGCTTGCTATTGTTACAATTAATAAGAAGATAAAAAGGGGGTTGGGTGGGGGGTGGAATTGAGTATTTAACTTGTAAAGGACAATTTTGTTTTTGTTATTCGGTGTTAAAGTCAAAGCAACACATACAATTTCCAGTGGACTTTACTACGTACGTTTAAATTAATTGATATATTTATTAATATAATAGATACTCTTTTGAACGAACTCGTCTGTGTTAAATAGCTCAGATTAGTTGATATATTTCTGATGAACTTTGATTTAAACTGCATTAATTTATTGCCAAAAAATATACAAGTACATATCCATCGTTGGATCGTCCTATTTGTCCATTGAGAAACCAATCGAATGGTAGAATATTTATTAAAGTTGATCGAGTGACGTGATTAATACTAATAATTGTGAACTTATAATGCAAGAACCCGAACATTTTTGCTAAAAAGTTTATCAAATTAGAGCCTAAGACTACTTGACGTATCCTAGATAATTAGATAAAAGATACACTTGTACTACGTAAAATTATACTTGATATGTCTACCACAACAAGATCGATGCTAGAGTCGTATATAAAGTCATTATGGGCTTCACCACTCCACAAGATTAAGTTTCTGTTTGTCGTGGACTCGTGGTTGAGTTTGTCCACCAACATGCGTGTTATATACTCTATCACAAGAGACTATTAGCACTTTATTGAATAGCTAGACAGAAGGGGAGGGAAAGAGGAGGAAAGCCGAGGGAAAGAAATTGGATCCATTTTTCCTTCAAATCACTTTAAGTTTGAAGTGATCTGAATTATAAAAGAGGGAGAGGATGAAAATAGATAACCTCTCCTTCCCTTCCTCTCATTATTATGTTTTCCTATTAGGTTTTGTTTTGTTCATCTAATTATCATTATTTTAAAAAAGTAAGTTTTGGCAAAATAAGTTCGTATAAGTTTTTAAAAGGGTTAATCGTAAAGTTTACTCTTTCTTTTTTCAATTCAAACTAAAATAAGTTCTAATAAGCTTAGATAAATTCAGATCAATGAAATAAGTTTTTAAAAGAAAAAGTGAATAAAAACCACCTAATTTAATCAAGTCACAAATGGTAACTTTTTATCTTACTTAAATTTATAGCACTTTCTTTTTATTTAATTTTTTACTCGCAACACTTCTGACTCCATGCTTGCCAATGCATTATCTCTATCACAAATACTTCGTATATTTAATTTAATTATCAATATGTAAAAATTAGATATTATTACATGATCGACTATATTATCTTAACTATAAATTATCAAAACTAATAATCAAATTAAAATAGAGCATATAAATGGTGTATGTAAAAGTCGAAAATGTTGCAAGTAATAAAATAGAGGAAGTAGGTCGATGCAAGAAAAAACAACTAAACAAAGACATACATGATGAGGAGAATAGACCCATATGATGTCCAAATCTCAATTACCCAATGTCTAAGCAATAACCCATAAATTCATTACCTACTAATGGACATAATACTTTGCAAAATGGAAAGATCATGTAATGAGTAATGACGAACCAACTTGAGGGGAAATGTTGTTCCTGACCATATGTTAGAGTAAAGACTAAAGAGTAACGAAACTAAATGCCCACATCAATAGTCAAAGCCTAGGCTATGTTGTTTTTACTTTTACTATAAAGAGGGTGTAAGCGTGTAACATTCTTTTCTTCTTCGGTATGAATACTTCGCTGGTTGAGTAAATGTTTCCATATTTGATCAATTTTTTTAAAAGAAAAAAAAAATTAAAAAAAGCAAAAAATTTCAAATCATTTGAAGACCATTTTTTTATATTTATTTTTTCAGGCTTTAATTTGGTCATCAGTGAGTAGTGTGGACGTTACTCCAGATTGCTACTGTTGTAGACGTGCAATCGATAAGTTTTTTTTAAAGGCTTTTCAAAATTGTAATTGTCATTGTCAAACCAAAATTGAGTTATTCTTTGAGTATATTATTATTATTATTATTTTATTGAACCTTGTGGTTTACACTTATATAATTTTTTTTACATATTAATAACATAGTTGATAATTGGCTTAGATGGCTTAATAGTCATCTTTGTTATAAGAGGTTGAGGGTTCAAACCTCCTTATTCTTATGTTATACGGAGTAATGTGGCATTGTTTGAGTGATGATGTGGCGTCATGCGCAACAAAAAAAAGGGATCACTTGACACACTTTTTAGGAACGCCTTTTAATAGATTACTCTATTTTTTAGTGATAATAAATACAAGTACGTGATACTCATCCATGGTACATAAACCGCCAATCCAACTAATATCAAGATAGTTAAGCTCGATAAACAAACATGTGTTATTAGAGGGCCTTGCATCACTTGAGAAATAAAAGCCTCAGTATTAGTTAAAGCATATACTCCCTTTATACCCTATTTTATTATTGCATCTTGTTAACGAGCACCCCATACCGTTAGATAACTAGTTAATATATAATCTAAAATAGTGCTAATTTTGGAATATATGTTAAAATCACATGCCGATCGGTGTAATTAATACTTATTTTATCTTAATATTTTCTCTTTTAGTTCACTAATCTAACGCTTTGGGGACACTCGTTAGATTTTGCCTTTATTATTTCTAATTAAATATGGTATAAAGTTACCACTTTCTTACTTGCACAGTTTAATACGGAATATTAAAGCAGTTCATGAATTTGATTGCTCTTTCTGAATTTGTATTCTGAAATTTCAATGTGAAATTGTGATATAAAGTGATGGTTTAATTTGATTGCAATTGGGAATTCTAATATGAAATTATAGTTTTGATACTTATGATTTTTGCTGTGAAAGAGCATGTATCACAAACTCACTATACATCCTGTTTAAGGATGATTATATTATTGTCGCATTCCACTTATTGTAGGACTTGAGATATAATTCGAATGCTATATTGAAATTAAGTTCTTTAACTTTGATTGTTGGCCGATTACTTGGTTGTACTTTGTAATTGTTATATGAAATTCCAATTTTAAACTATACTGTCCAAGGAAGGGGCCATGGAGGGGTGCAGTGGTGTAGGTAAGGGGGCCGGGAAGGGAGAGGAACAGTGTGCAGGAAAGGGAATGGAGGGGAGTAATGTGCCGGGAACAATATTATTGATTGCAACTTCAAATTATCTGAACTTAATATAAGTTCCTGAAAGTTTTTAAAGCTTAAAAGAATAAGCCATAGTCTATTTAATAAGAAAAATGATTTTAAAGACTCTTTAAATTTTTAGAAATAATGTTTTTTTTTTTTTCATCTCAATGATTGTTGTTACTGTAAAAAACAAAATGAGATATAAAGTAGCTTACTCCCACACCTTTATAAGACTGAAATTCAAACTAAAATTGTTTCACTATAACTAATCATGAGTTATTTTGAATATGAAATTCAATCGACAAAAATAGATGAGTGTGTCAAATAAAGATTAAAGTTAGTAGCCTTAGCAATGGTAGTATTCTAATCTCAAAGAGTCTTCTAAAGAGTCAGATCACCAATGTATAGCCCAATATGTAAACATTTTTTTATTGCTACGTTTATTTTAAGTTGTCTACTTATAAAATTGAACTAATATTATTCCATATAGCTAAAAATATTTTGGCTATTGATCTTGTAGCTATAAATCTTTAGAATGGATATTTATAGAAAGTGGCGAGAGTGGATGGAATGTGATAATGTAATTAGTGATTTATAAATAGAGCTAATGAGTTATTTTGTTTTGATTTCTTTCCTTTTTTTGGGTTGTGTGTGTGTTTTTGTCATTATATTTGATGGTTCTTGTAGCTATAGCTGTTTTAAGTATGTAACTGGCTGTGATGATGGACTTAATAGGCTATTTTGATAGTTTGATTATGATTATTGTAAGTAAAGGGTGGGTAAATTAATTAGGATCAACAGAATAACTCACTCTATATAATAGTTAGAAGCAAAAACCAAAATCTTGTTGTCTTTCGAGCTACCAACAAAAATGATTTCCTAGATAATTCTACATACAAGTCATACAACTATCTTACTTCTTTGTATCAAGAATGTATTAATATACTTGTAAGACTT